AAGTTGACGATTCTTTACTTAAATGAGTAGACTTCCACTGTAAATCGCTTAATAGAACACTATAACAGTCAGGATAAGATATATCTCGTTCATTATCACCTGACTCATTACCACTATAAAGGACTCATCATCACTTTCTCTTTAATCTTTATAGAGAAAGATGCCTCCAAAGAAGTCCAACAGGAAGAAAAAAAAACCCTCCAACAAATCCACCACCGGCACCACCTCCTCAATACGACCCTATTGTCTTCCAAGCAGCAGTAACCGCCACCGTGGCAGCCGCCATGACGCAGATCAATGCAAGCGGCACTAGCGGTTCGGGTAGTGGTGCCAACCCTTTTAACCATGGAAATAGTCATGGAAACCCAAGGGAGTGTTCCTATAAAGACTTTACAAATGCTAAAACCAAATCCTTCGATGGCACTGGAGGTGTCGTTGCTTTAACACGCTGGTTCGAGAAGACCGAATCAATATTTGAAATCTGCGCGTATCCTGAAGCTAGCAAAGTGAAATTTGCAGCATGCACATTCACAGACAGAGCCCTCACATGGTGGAACAGTAAACTCAATTCATTGACTCTCCCAATAGCCAATGTCATGAGCTGGGATGATTTGAAAGAACTAATGCTAGCAGAATACTGCCCGAGGGGCGAGATACAAAAACTAGAGCAAGAGTTATGGAGTATGTGATGGTTTTTGGTATAATACAACATCATATGGTGCACATACAACCCTAAATGCTTTGGATCTATGTTTTCTCTAATTATACATGCAATATTGTTTCCAAAGCATTAAGCCTACAACTAGCATATAAATGATATAAACAACATAAAATAGAGTTATGGAGTTACCACTTTGTTGTAGCTTGTATAACTTCTTGAGTTTGGCATTTAAGAACTTAGTGCCCCAAGTGTTGCACCTCAAATGGAATCACACAACACCACCAAAAATGGAGGACTTGAGAGAGAATACTTGTACTCTAAAATCGGCTATAGCTATTCCAAGAACACTAAGGTATCAATTTTAGGAGCTAATGGGTTTCTTATATAGTGTGGCAAAAATAGGGTTACACCATGTAAACCATAATATGCATGACCTTCCACATTCCTCATTCTCCATGGGTTTAAACCTCCATGGATCATCCATGGGTTGTCACATGGTTTTAGCCCAACATAAGGAATCATGGATTATAGGCCCACACCATAACAATGAATGATTTACCAAAATCAACCCCTTATATTTAATTATTCTTGTTTGATCACAAAATTAATTCCAAATTAATTCTTAATCAATACTAATTAAATAATATGATTTCATATTAATATATTAGAACTTATAATATATTAATAAATCATGAATATCCTCTTCTCAAAAGTCCATCCTTACAAATTGTTTTCGGTGCCATGCAACCCAAATGGACCATGCTACTCTCGGGTCAAGTACATACCAATTATAGTTATGGTTTAAATGTATGTTCTTGTATCGTTTATTGAACTTAGCAAAATAATATAGCGATTCACAAACTATACCAACTATAGTTTAAATGTATGCCTTGTAATGAACTGAAACATTTGCAATTTAACAGTGTGTATAAAGCGGTAGTAAGAGATTTATGAAAAATACCCTTTTGATCGACATGCTACAAAAGGGTTAAATATATATAAATAATTTAATAAATGCATCGATAAATCGGTTTGAAACAATTGCAAATGGTTTGAAATTGTTGGAATGCTAACACAAGAGTCCTTATGTTTAAATTTAATTCCCCCCCCCCACCCTAAAAACATTGATAAATAGTGATAACGTAGGGGTATGAACTCACCTCTAATGTGTTCGAGTCTGGATAGCGGAACTGTAGAGATGATCCTCAGGCTAGCGTACGTGGAAAGAACGGGATGCTAATATTATTTAAACATGTAATCGTATTTAAATTAGCGAGATAATTAATTAAAGTGTTAGACAACACTTAATTTATGTAAGGAATATTTACAAAAACTACCAAAAATTGTTTGGAGTGTTGATAAGGGTTTTCGGTCTAGCCTTCACCGAAATCCCATGATTTCGGTCTTAAAACCTCAACCGAGAACCAAGTTCTCGGTCTTAAGGTGTTCTCGGTCAGGAACGAGTTCTCGGTCCAAGGTGTTTTCGGTCAGCTTGAAGATTTGAAGATTGTTCTTGATGTTCTTGGTGTTCTTGGTGTTCTTGGTGAAAATTATGAAGATTTGAAGGATTTTTCTTGAAGATATGAAGATTCTTGTATGATACTTGAGAGCAAAAAGAGTGTGTTTTCGGTTGGAAAAGTGAGAAAATGACTATGTTTTCAAGTGAAAACATATATATCGGGTGGGTTTTCGGCCCGAAAGGAGATTTCGGTCCGAGGAGTTTGCGGTCCGAGGGTTTTGGCCGAAAAGACGTTTCGGTACCAAGGTTCTCGGTTCCAATGGAAAAGTTTTGATTTTTAAATGCATTTTAATCTAAATACTTATATAAACATCATTTATACAATTTAAATCATATTTAACCCTTATGATCTTAACAAAATAAATAAAACTCGAATTTTATTTAAAGGGTTTGACTCTTATTGACCTGAAAAGTAACGGGTTGTTACATTGCACGTGAGAAGGAACTTATTGGAAATGGCGTAGACGAGATGAACGGCGTTGCCAACACGACAGATGCGGAAGAGCGCCCAATCGAAGGTGTGCTTGGATTTAGGATGGTGATCGGTGGTTAGTGTGCGCTACTTCATCATTTACTTGAGTGATCTATCGGAATGGAAGGATAACTGTTACAGAGCTTCTCTGATGCATCGATGCTACTGATTTCGGTTCCAATGAGTGTGAGTTCGATTTCAATACTGTTTCTATAGGACGTGACGATGGATACTCCATCGATACACCACCAAATGACTTAGGGCTTCGACGATCTACAGCTGCAATCGAAGATGAACACGAACATCGTTAATTCTAGACTGAGGTAGAGGTTGTTGATGGAGGGACGAAGGAGGAGATTGATGTAGAGGTAAGAGGATAATACGCTAGAGAGAGAGAGAGAGAGAGAGAGAGAAAGTAATTAATGGGCTGGTATTTTTTTATCCCTAAAATACCCATGATTTTTGAATTTATGATCAAAAAGGTTATTCAAGTTTAATATATTTACAAATTTTCCGTTGTTAATCATGCACGTATATTTAATGAACCTTACCGTAATCTAACGCTCCAACTTTAGTTCTCGGGTTCTCAGGAAACTTTGAGTTCTCAAATGATCATTCATCTCTCTCTCTCTCTATATATATATATATATATATATATATATATATATATATATATATATATATATATATATATATATATATATATATACTAGCAATGTACCCGCGCAAAGCCGCGGGGCAAGTAAGTTCTTTCGGTGATATGTTTCCTTTACAAAATGTTATGTTCCAAAAAAAAATACATGTCGAAGATAATATAATAAAACTATGGTGTTATTTGATACATGATACATCAAATAACCGATAAGTTCTGAAGATGTAAAGTTGGATGATGAAGCTGTGGAAATGGCTAATATATCGGATTCAACAAAACCAACAACATTGACACCACCACTCAAGAGACTACGTGTTAAAGTTCAAAGCTGAAACAGATGTTATAGGCTTTGTGATGAGGAAGATGATGAAATTCATGTTAATGTCGGGTAAGATCATTTGTCCTTTGTTTTAGAAAGGAACACAAAACACTGATTTTTTTTTTCTATTTATCACTATATGTGTAGTTATTTAATTGTTTGTTTTAAATTTATTAATGCCTTCAAATTTATTTTTTCAGCCGTGGTTTGCATATTGTTGCAGCTGAAAACCAGGCATCTCAGGGTGACGACGATGCAGTTGTCAACACCTAAGTATTTTTTTAGGAGAAGTGTTTTATTAGGCTTGAAATTTTATAGTTTTGTTTTTTTTTTCTGGATTTTTTTTAAATAAAGTTTGATGTTTTATGGTATTGATTTTATTGAAATTTTATGGTTTATAAAGTTTTCATGGTTATCAATCAGATGTAAGAGCAAATTCATATGCAGTTGCTAAAGAATGTTTGTGATCAATGTTGAATCATACTTTGGTGTTATATAGTTGAATTTATCGTTTTAGGTTATATGATAAAACTTTTATAAAAAAGAAATTTAGATATTAAGAGAAAAAACTCAAATATATTTTATAAAAATAACACCTTAAGTTTATTTACCTAAAAGTTTTATTTATTTCTAAAAATGAGAAACTTACTAATGTATTTTATAACTTCTAAATTATAATATATAAGTACAAACTATCCTTCAATTTTAACATAGGTTAAAAATCATTTATTGAAAACCGAATAACCACAATCCATTTTGCATTTTTTTCAATGTTTCTTTTTAACTGAACTATCTTTCCAATAGACTTTCCATTCCAATACGTTTAATATAATTTAAGTTAATCCATGAAAAAATATATTATTTTGGACAACTTAAACTTAAATATTTATAACGTGGTTTTTTGAAAGTTACAAAGCTTAAGCTTAATGTACAAATCACTTATGCAAGGCTACTTGTAAGGAAAATCAATTAAAGTTTATTAATCAATTCACGTTTTTTCTATTTAAGGGCAAGTGGGAGTCAAATCGTGGACCTATTCTTTGGTCTTTATTTGTGATTTTGAATTTCCATTTTGATATAATCTTGATAGTGGGTAGATTTTTTTGCCCTTTTGTTATGTTTTTGTTGTATTTAATCAGCCAAATCCTCAAATGACTATCAATAGAAGGCTCGACTAAGATAAAAAAGAGTAGGTGGTGCGTGCTTCAATTGAGAGGACAAAAACCAACACAGGAAGATGATTATAAGCCTCTATTGCCACAAACAAAATATACTAAGTTCATATGCCCTGTTCTTTTCAAGCACATAAACGATCTCAAAGCCACTACTATAGTTTTTTGAATAACAATATATTATAAACAAAATCAATAGACTAACGGGAAGATGGAACAATACAAAGAGTTGGTACATATAAACATAAAAGGGAGACAAAAAAGACAAAGTGCTTGCTCACTGATCAACAACCATGAAATAAGATGATAACTAAAGTCTTGAATCCAAACATCACCAAGAAAATCAATAAACCTTAATATCTTCGCACAACAAGTATGACAAGTTCCTGTGAAGTCTTGATTTATAAAGAGGGCAAAGCAACAAAGCAACACCAGGAGCAATATCGTCAAGTATCGGATAAAACTCTCTTCTCTCACAAAGGTAGGAACTTTTCACTCAACAGATATGGAGAGTGATTATGCTGTCAAAAAAAATATCAGCACAAAAATTAAAGAATAACACCAAAGCCACACCAAGGGAAAAATGGTCCATAACATATTAAACGGAGGATATGTTTTCAAGTTCTCCACTAAATAGAAGAAACAAAAAAACCACTATTAACTTTATAAGTCCTAAATGTAAAGCATTTAAAGTAACATAAAAAGTCCTTATGACACTATTATGTGAATAAATAGGTGGAACTAACCAACTTACCAAGAGCCTGAAATAATATTAGTAAGATGAGGTATCATTAACTTTACTGGTTAATTTTTAAAATCATCATATATTTGTTTTTATTTTACAAACTGATTATCATTATTGTAAAAATTCTAAGAGAACAATGTAATTGCAAGAATTCTCATTAGTCTGCAATGAAAACCACTCATTCTAGCTAAGAAACAAAGAAATTGTTTCAAAATCTGCAAGAGACCATGGTTTGAAAAGGCAACAACAAATAAAAGATCAACTTCTAATGGTCTATTGCCTCTGGTTTGATTTGTTTTTCACAAGGAACAATGGTAAAACAAAGGAAATAATACCTTAAAGACCTCTCTTTCCTTAGAAATAGCAGAGTATGTGATGCTCTTTCAACCCATGCGACAGAAAGTCCAAGAACATAATTTATGTAGGATCAGGCCTTCGAATCTAACCAACAAAATTAGGATGATTGGTAAAACCAAGATTTTACCTTCAAAGTACAAACAAAGATATGAACTTCAACTTGATATAAGACAAAAACTCAAACACACGTGAAGATCCAACCATAAGAAGATCTGTTATAAAAAAGATTAGTAAAGATTTTAACAAAAAATGACAAAACCTGTAACCCAAATATGACCTTCAAGTGAGTATTGTGGTTGTAAGCAACGTCTGTTCGACTTCAACTTGATCTAAGACAAAAACCCAAACACACATGAAGATCCAACCATAAGAAGGTATGCTATCAAAAGAGATTAGAAAAGATTTCAACAGAAAATGACAAAACCTCGAACCCGAATATAACCTTAAACTGAGTATTGTGGTTGTAAGCAACGGCAACATACAGCTGTGTCGAGAACATCGTCAGTGACGATGGAAAATATAGAGGTGAGTAAAGAAAGTGTAAGGTAGCGTTGTGGTGGTGGAAGAGGATTGTACAACGACGGAGGAGGGTTTTCTATGGTGTTTGAAAATGGAAATTTAGGGTTATAAAGAAGAGTAAGAGGTTATCGAGTGGTTGAAGGTGGTGTACCGAGGCGGAGATTCTTAGGGGTAGATCGTCAACATAGAGGTAGAAGTGAGTGGTAGAGGTCGTAGTTGTGCTAGTGAGCGGCAATATGATTTGGTAGTGATGTCGTGGTGGCCGATGGCTGATTAAGTGGGTGGCCTCATTTGAGTTTAGGTTAACAGAGAAAGGTGGGAGCGAATTTAATGAGTGTTGTGTGGGATAGACGGAATAGGGATGAGAGTATGACTTTAAAGGGGGTGGGAGGGAAACGAAACTGACGACATCAATTATGGATTTCAAAATTCGAAATTGACTCCTTTTTGGAAAGTGTTTGATGTTAATGAATCTCCTTATTTTCAGTAAAAGATGAGGAATATAAAATCTCTTATGCAAGAATAATAGTACTTAAAGCACTATAATTTGGACGATTTTAAAAAATCTATTTTGAAAAATATATAGATAATATTATTTTATTGGTGGTCGATTGTATTCTAATCTTAGAGACTTGAACGTCTTAAAAAAATAATATTATTATAATGAATTTATTTATAGAAATAGTTAGATTTCTTTTTTATAAGATAGTATATATATATATATATATATTATATATATATATATATATATATATTATTCCCTCTAATTTTTAAAAAAAAAATTTCTGAATTTTATATAGTATGCATTTTAAATAAAATTTGTTCATAACTCTTGGGGTTCTTAGCTTATAAAATAAGGTTAAATGTTAATGAATTTAATTTTTATTTCCTTGATTACATTTTCTATTTTTTTATTATTCTAAGATGATATTATAATGTTTATAATTATTTTTTGTGGAATTATTGAGGTTGAATTTCATAATTTTTGGTTTCTAAGGCTTTTAGGATTTTGGAATTTAATAAATCTTTGGATATCAAAATATTTTTATTTTTGAGGCTTCAAATTATTTTAGACTCTTATAACTTTTTTCCAGTTATAAAAATGCTTGAAATTTGTCTTTGTCAGTGTATTGGCATTTCTATGTAGTGATTCTGAGATTCAAATGAAAATTGAAGAATCATGTAACATCTGGTTTGAGGTATTTCCATTTTTTACCATTGATATGTTAATACTTTGCAAATTTGATCCCTAGGGGGCAGTTTTTCCATTTCCGTCAAACTTGTAGTACGCGGGTCATACTCCTCGTACGCGGGGAGTATGCATGCAGGGGACAAACCCTAAATTTTAAGGTTTGGACCCTATTTAAACAACATTATGAATCTCGAAACCTAGCCCGTTTTGAAGAGATTTGACCCCTCTTGTGTGTGTTGGTGAGACTTGAAAAAGAAGAACTTGGAAGAAGGAGCCTTGATCAAAGGAGAGCTTTTAGGTCCAGATTTCTCACATCATTTCCAGCTTCATTGAGGTATAAAGCTTGGAACTTGCTCCTTGTTTGCTTAGATCTACTCTTTCTGAAGTTTTGGTCCTATTTTGGTCATATGATGAGATCTAGCGGATTCCTTCCACTCCAAAAGTTAGGAGTTGCTTCTATTGAAGTTTCTAAGGCCATAAGTCCATAAAGTTAGCATCTTGTTGGTTATGGATCAACCATGCATAAGTTTAGGTCATTATGGTGAGAGTAGAATGCTAAAAGTGAGGTTTGGGTCCTTTTGAGCCATGCAAAGGCTCCAAGTTCATAACTTTATAGCTCAATACGTTTGATAAGACTTGGATCTGAAGTTTGGGCTTTTGGTTGCAAGTATTAAGCACTTAATGGAAAAGTGCTTAATGGGAACGTACGTTGGGCGTACGTATGTGTACGTTGCGCGTATTGTGCCCGATACCTGATCATGGCTTGCTTGGTAGTACGTTGGACGTACCCAGATTGTACGCATCGCATACTAGGAATCCTTGTAGAACGTTGGGCATAAGCCTGAGTACGCAGGGCATACTCAGTTGCCATTGACTTCGGTTGACTTTCTTAGTTTGGGCCGCTTTTTGGCTGGAAGAGTTTTGGGTCCTTTTCAGCCATTAACCTTCTAATTTTGGGCCATGGCTAGGCCTTGGGCTTTATTGGAATTAGGCCCATGATGGGTTTTGGGCCCAATTAGGAAGTTGGGCCTTAGCGGGCTTTTTGGTGCTATTGGATTGGGCTTCAGATTTTAGGTCAAGTTAGGAGGGGGTAAAATGGTCTTTTACCCTGAGTGTTGGAAAATTGGACTAGGATTCCAGTTTTGGGTTGTAAACCAAATTATTGATTGGATATTATTTGGTGGTGTTAGCGTGGAGGTTTTTCCAGATCAACAGTCCGCGTATTTTTCTGAGAGATTCAGTAGTTTGAGGTGAGTTTCCTCACTATGCTTGGCGGTTCGAAGGCACCAATGCCGGCCCATGGTTTATAATGATTAGGATGTTAGTTGTCTATGTGACACTTGCATGTATGATAATTGCTATGTATACCAGGCGAGGCCTGATGTGTATATTGTATGTTATTTATCATTATGATTTTTGCATGTGTTTATATTTTCATATGTATACCGGATGGGGTCTGATGAATGTGATGAGGCGAGGCCCATCTCATATTTCTGACAGATCTATTCCGAGAAGGGCCCGATGTCATGTAACATATAGATCTTGTAAGTTTCCTTTTTAACCCTTTTTTAAAAAAACTCTTTGCAATATTGGTCCTCTGGCTAGTACGCGGGGCGTACTCTAGAACTACACTTAGCGTACTAGCTTAAGCTTGGTCGCGGGCATCGCCCATGTACTCTGGGCATACGTGGGGTTACACAGGGCATACTCATGGCAGAGACAAACCCTAATTTTTAGGGTTTGCACCCTATTTAAAGACCTTAAGTCGCTCATGATCTTCACCCTCTTAGCCTCCCTTGTCCTTTTAGTGTCAAACCCGAATATTAACCCTCTTGCACACATTTTGTGCTTACCTTGGTGTTTTTGGTGATCTTTGTTGGTTTTGAAGAAAAAGGAAGTTGTGGAATGTTAACATTACCGTATGCGACCACGTTAAATCTAACGGAAAGCACTGACGGGACGTATTACGCCAGGGCCTTGGCCATGCCTCAGTCTTAGCTCAGACAGGCCAGCGCCAGGATGACAATTCACTTCCCCCACGAGGAAGAATATTCCTCATGATCCTCTCATTCTCTCATGACTAATCAGACCAAGACAAAGAGCCTGATGACGTCTAGAACTGACGTCACCTAGCTGTTAGACGGCGTGAGCGTACTTCTCCCAATAGGAAAGTGTCACGTCTCACTCCCACATGGGGGGAGTCACCACATTCCGTTAGCAACAGGTATAAAAGGACCCCTTCCTGCCCAAGAAAGGGGATGATATTCTTCCCTATACAATTTACCTAAATCTCTCTCAGATAGAAAGCTAACTTGATCGTCGGAGTGACATGCCGGGAGAACCCCTGGTTGTCCTCTAACGACTCTTATGTGTTGTGTACTCAGGTAAACCTCCAAGACCAACTCTTCAACAAACGACCAATTCCATGGAGAGCTTGTCACAACATTTGGCGCCATCCGGGCGTATCCTCAGAGTGATACAGCCAGTAGCCGACACTGGTTCTCTGCAAAAGGGGGATCTAAACCCAACAGCAACCGGGACGGTAGAAGAAGATCTATTTAGAACATCGATGATAGTAAACGAGAAACATCACCGCGAGTGTAGAACACAGGCCCCAATCCAGGTGCTTATGGCGCGGGTCCTGCCAATTATGACAGAAATAGCAGAGCCAATACTCAAGAGCAGTTTCCGGCGACTATTGTCAGAAGGTTCGCTGCCTCAAATGGAAATAACACATATCGATTTGTTACAGGAACCTCCGTATGATGGCAACGAGGTACTCACTATAACTAAATCCTATAAGAGAAACGCAGCTCACCAAACGGAGGATGAGATAGAGGTTCTCTCGAGAAATCTACTCAATATCACTTTTTCGAGTAGCGATCCCAGGGCGTCGAACTGGGATCCATGAGATCCACGCTTCATATATGGATTCATTCGCCATACAAAAATCCATCGAATATACATCGACAATGGTGGTAGCTCCGACATACTCTACGAGCATTGTTTCAGGCAACTACCGGAAACATGGAAGGAGGGGCTAAGGCCCCCAATTGGAGGACCATTGGTGGGGTTCACCGGTCACTGCTTGTGGCCATTGGGCACTATCCGACTGCCTTTAACGTTTGTCAGTCATGACGAAAGGGACAAAATCACAAGAACAATCGAATTTTCTGTGATTCGGTTTCCAGCAGAACACAATATTCTGCCTGGACGATCAGTAGTATCCCTACTACAGTTCGTGCCATCGACGATACATGGCATAGTCAAATTTAGCACATGCCAGGGATCAGCAAAAAATATTGCCACAAACAACAGGGTGCAACACTGCCATCAGATCATAGCTGCTCCTGAGTTGGTGCGAGATCCAAAAAAGTTGAAGGAGAATTGTTCCACTGAACAACACCAGGTAAACACAGAATACCCAGAGCAGCTTGTGCGAATCAGTGTTTACCTATCAGGCGAGACCATGGAACGACTGGTAGCGCTCCTAAAGCAATATTCCACTGTTTTCGCCTGGAAGCCAACATATCGGACATGCGTAGACCGACAGGTTGTAGAGCATAGTCTCAACATCACGCCCGGAAGCAATCCTATCATACAAAAGAAGAGGGGCCAGGCGGAAGACCAAAACATGGCTATAAATGCAGAAGTAGTCGACCTAGTGAGTGCCGACATACTTAGGGAGGCAAGGTTCCTGACATGGATAGCAAATCCCGTTATGGTAAAGAAAGCCAATGGGTCATGGGGAATGTGCATTAAGTACTCAGACCTTAATAACGCTTGTCCAAAGGATCAATACCCCCTTTCGAAGATAGATCAGAAAGTCCAATTGCTCAAAGGGTTTCAGTTCAAATGGTTCCTTGACGCGTACAAAGGTTATCATCAAGTAGATGAAACAAGAGAACGAGGCGAAAACAACTTTTTACACTGAGAATGGCACTTTCTGCTAGCCGAAAACGCCGTTTGGACTAAAAAACGCAGGTGCTACATATCAGAGACTAATGGACAAGATATTCGCTGATCAAATTGGTAGGAACATCGAGGTCTACGTTGATGACATGGTAATCAAGAGCCGTAACGAAGAATCATTACTCCATGATGTGGAAGAGGCTCTTAAAACGCTAGCTAAAGCGCATATGAGGTTAGAGTCAGCCAAGTGTACTTTCGGCGTAGAAGAAGGTCAATTCCTTGGGTATCAGATATCCAAGGAAGGGATTCTGCCCAACCCCATCAAAATCCAAGAGTTTCTCGAGTCGAAAACTCCCCACAACCTCAAAGGTGTACAAGAGATCAATGGTCGGCTAACGAAATTAGGAAGATTTATTGGCAAATCAGCAGAAAAGGCGCTTCCCCTATACCAAACCCTGAAAGGGTGCTTAGATGAAAAGCAATTAAAATGGGAAAAAAGAGCAGACGAAGAATTACAACGACTGAAAGATGCCTTACACCAGCTACCAGCCCTCGCTTGCCCGCTACCAGGAGAAATGTACCTAGCAGCATCGAAAGATGCTATCTCCTCCGTGTTGGCGGTGGAAAGGGAAGGCAAACAGGTCCCCATACACTTTGTAAGTAGGGCCTTGCAAGGGCCAAAGGTTAATTACCTAGTCTTAGAGAAACTAGTCCTCGCCCTAGTATACGTTGCCAGGCAGCTACGGAAGTACTTCCAAGCTCACAAGGTGGATGTTCTAACCAGCTACCCGATAAAGCAAGTTCTTCTAAGGCCAGAAAAGTCTGGAATCCTGGCCAAGTGGGCCATAGAATTAGGCGAACACGATATCAATTACCACCCCTAGACTAGCATCAAGGCCCAGGCCCTCGTAGATTTGCAAGTCGAAATCCCAGATACTATCAAGGGAACACCAACGACAATCTCCGTCAACCCATTGGATCCTGAAGCCAACAAAGAGCTTTGGAAATTATACACCGACGGCGCAACAAGTATGGAAGGCTTAGACGCATGCCTAATCACTTACGCACTGCGATTCAATTTCCAAGTATCTAATAACGAAGCGGAATATGAGGCACTCCTAGCAGGCCTGAGGTTAGCAAGGGAGGTTGGTGCAAAGCGATTAACAGCTCTCAGTGATTCGTTACTCATCACGAACCAACTAAATGGAAAATATGAAGCCAAATATCAAAGGATGCAGAAGTACATAGATGCAATCTGTAGCTTAACAAGCATATTTAAAAACTTTTCAATAAATCAAATCTCCCGTGGAAAAAATGCGAGGGCGGACACTCTCAGCAAGCTAGCCTCAACTTCCTTTGATCACCTAACAAATAAAGTGTTAGTCGAAGTGCTCCCAGAGAGAAACATTGAAAACCAAAAGGTTAATATAGTCTTGACTACCCCAAAATGGACCAAACCATACGTCGATTACTTGTGCCACGGTGTACTCCCAAACGACTCGGCAGAAGCGAGAAAAGTCAAGGTCAAGGCGTCACATTTCGCATTTAGAGACAACCAACTGTATCGAAGAGGGTATTTAAGCCCATAGCTAAAGTGCATCTCTAAGAAAGAAGGACAGACGCTCATGGAGGAAAGTCATTCAATAGACACGGCAGTGCACGAAGGGGCTCGAGCACTCATGGGAAATATACTCCGCCTAGGAGTATATTAGCCAAACATATACAACGAGGCAACAACCCTAACCAAGAAATGTAAAGAATGCTAGGCATTCGCTCCTTTCTAGAATCAACCGTCCATGCCGTTGACCAGCATCACCGGCCCCTGGCCCTTCTATCAATGGGGGATTGACATAGTGGGACCATTCCCACCAGCGCCAGGGGGTGTGAAATTCTTGTTAGTTGTTGTGGATTATTTTACAAAATGGATAGAGGCGGAACCGCTGGCCACCGTCTCGGGAAAGCAAATGATAAAGTTAATGAACAAAAATATATTAGCTCGCTTTGGCACACCCAAATTTCTCATAAGTGACAATGGCACACAATTTGAAGGGAGCCCCTTCAAGGAGTGGTGTGAAAACAAGAAGATCCACCGCTGGTTCACGTCTGTGGCGCACCCTCAGGCCAATGAACAAACCGAGATATCAAACAAAACCATAGTTAATGGTTTAAAGAAAAGGTTACTCAGATCAAAGTCTATCTGGGTAGACTAGCTACCGACAGTGTTGTGGTCATATCGTACCACCGTAAGGTCGAGTACGGGAGAAACGCCATTCAGCCTTACCTATGGGACGGAAGTAGTCCTCCCATTGTAAATAGTAGCTGGCTACTGCGAACAGAGAGTTTCGAGGAAATAGCCAATGAAGCAGGGCGACACAAGTACTTAGACATGCTAGATGAAAAACGCGCGAATGCACACATGAGCCAAGCATTGTACAAATCGCGTACCAAGAACTATTACAACCGCCAAGTTTGGGTCAAGAACTTCAAAATTGGAGAATGGGTGTTAAGGAAAAACGAGTCCAGCCAAGCCGAACCATTAGGAAAACTCAGCATCACTTATGAGGGATCGTACAAAAATTTTAGAAGCCCATAATAATGGCGCTTACGTACTAGAAGCCCAAGAGGGGCGTGCAATACCAAGAACTTGGAATGCGCAAAGCCTGCACCATTTCTACTCTTAAACGAGTGTCAAAGATAAATTAAATGTTAGAAAAGGCATTTGATTATTGGTCTTGGAATGTAAAATTAACTAGCAAGAATTAGTTTACTATTTCTAGTTTTGTTACACTCTAACTGATGATATGCCCCTCAGAGCGGGCCAGGAATAAAGGTACTCCCCAGGGAGGGATCTACAGCGAGGCCCGACCAGGCCCAGCCTGGCCGCCCCCACAGATCCTCAGCTCGGCCGCCCTATGGATCCCCAGCTGCTAGGCGCCCAAGCGGGACAGCCGCATGAAAGGCCCGTCCCCGCCAAGGGGCACCTTCTACTACATGACAAGGATAACAACTCTAGGCGACAAGGAGCCCATCCAGAGCCTTATTTCCTGGACCAATCGTTGGAGCTGACACAACGAGGAACACGACTCACCAATAAGGACAACGGATCTTGTCGGGACTACAGTCCTTGTTCCTCGTACGGACCAATGAGGATCCTCAGTATAAAAGGACCATAACTTCGCCTTGAAGGGTAAGATATCTCTCCTGATTTTCAGCCCTTACTCTCGAATACACCACTAACTTGAGCGTCAGAGCGTTTTTTCCGGGATCTCCTCTCGGAGAACGGCTGACGATTTTCTCTCTTTGTGACCTCTTAGGTTCCTCCCCGACGAACTCAGCCTTCACCCTCTAGGTGATCGGAGCCAAGGTCGCATCATTTGGCTCCGTACGATTGTATGACAACAGATACGGAAACCCATTTTCCTCCTTAACCTAGTAAGAAATGACGAACGAAGCCGCCGGCGAGCCGTCGGAAACACCACAAAGCCCGATACGACCAATGGTCTCATTAGAGACAGCTAGCACCCCGATAACGCTACCAACTCAGACGATTGGTGCGGTTTCTGAGACACCATCATCCGGTGTCCCGCCACCTTCTCTCATAGCGGCTACGCCCTCCATCACAGCCCATAACCATATACCAGTACCCTCTCTGAATAGTGCAACCCTGCCGTTGTTCCCCAACATCGGCGAACCCAACCCATTCACTCCACCTCCTCTACCACTGTTTTTTCCTAACACTGGCAGACCAAGTAACGTCGGTTACAGTCTAATATCATCGCCCATTAACACAACAAACAGTATTGGGGACTACCCCCGCTCATGAACGCATCCACAACCCCGGCGAATAATGTCGCTAGTGAACCAGGTGTCTCTTATGTTACCGTTTCTGATACGTATATAAACTTGTATACTTCGTATAAAATACTTACATTTTAAAAGTATACTTTTAGTTCAGAGCGCTTCAGCCCCTTAGTGTTTATAGTTGTATACCATGTAAGGTTCGCTATACTTAGTTCACTATAAACAAGAGCTTTAATACCAATCTGTCACACCCCCAAACCGGAACGGCGGAAACGTTCGGGGGTGGATGACGTCATGTGTAGTATCACAACAATTGTATTATAGCAACCATAGTAACACAACCATCACATTGAATACATATATGAAAAAGGTTTATATCTGTTTAATTATTGTTTTTATACATCAAAAGTATAATCAAAAGAAAAAGACGTGACTCTATACGCTCCGTCATCTCAAAACACCAGGAGGTACCTGTCTACTGATTTCCTGAGAATACAAGCAGTTTTGAAAGAGTATCAGCATAAAGCTGGTGAGTTTAGAAGCGATGTTTTGTAGTGAAAACTTGTTGATGAATCTTGTAAAATGTTCGTATGTTTCCAAGAAAATCCAATATTTTCTTTAGTAAAAGCATGATATTACCAGTTCCTTCTGTGAATGTTTGTTACGGTATCCTTTGTAGTATAAAACACATTAGTTTGTATGCTTGATTAATACTAGTGCGTATAGTATGATGAATTCTGTATTAAAAACCTCGGTGTGTGGAATGTTCTATTTGAAAACCCTGGCTACCACCAGTATTATTTAAAATAAAACTGAGTATTGTATCTCTGGAATCCTCCAGTGTAATGTATAATAGTTCTATTAATGAAAATACAACTAATGACGAATAAAATCTCGTAAACAAAGGTTAGTTTATACTTATTGTGAGTCGTATAACCATGCTTGATATGACCTAGTGACCTTTACGACGTTCTTCAAGTGTCGGTTAAATGACATTTGTCACCCCAGGCATGCCTACCTAACTGTAGCTAGCAGTTCAGGTGTGGGATTGTCAGTCCCGAATAGATCTATTCACAAATCTCACGCTCTCCCTCTAGGAGACTCTGGTTATACTATGATATGATTTAATTCAGTACACCCAAGGGTACAGTTTTGAAGTGGAATCTCACAATTCTGTATAATCTAGTTTACATGTAATTCTATATCGTTCTCTTGTATTTGTATCTGTTGAATACTGTATAAGGTAATAATTATACTTAAATAATTATTAACCGTTGTACTCTTGTAGTAATGTATATCATAAACTAAATCTGTCATAGTTTATATGATTAGTAGTGTATAACTCTGAATTCGTTAAAGCTGTGTATTGAAAACCCCAAACTATACCTATTATATTTTGCATGTATATTGTGTAGTTGAAGTGAGTATTGATCTGAAAACTATGCAATTATGGTTGTAAGTTGAAAACGTCCCTTATGCTCAACATAATACAAAAGGGATAAAATAACTAAATATTTTATAAAATGTGGAAACCGCTTGATTGTATAAATTGCATAAGTTTTAAGTTTGTTAAAACCCTTTGTCTTGTTTCACAAAAATCATTTGTGTTTGGCTTGTATTTCTGTTAGAACCTGAAAGTGATCCTCTATCAATCCTAAGTCTAATTCCGAAGTGTATGTTCCGAAGTGGAGAGTGGTCCGGAATCCGTCCGGACCAAATAAGAAGACGTGAATACTGAAGACATTCCGGAACTGACTCTCATGTCCGGAATGATGCTGATCCGGAATGAAGTTGTTTTGTCTTTTGTGCATTTATTATATTTGTCTTTGTATTGATGTAACGTTTCATAGGACTAAACCTATAGTTGTATTTGGACAATCAGAATGTCAGTAGCATGTCTTTTGTCCTGTCCTATGTAAGCACTTCATTTAATACGATGTAATATTCACTCCTATTTATAGGAGTATTCAATACAAGTCAATACGAATCTTTTCACTTACTTTTGGCATTCATAATAAGTTCATTCAAAACATTCTTGTTCTTCATTTATTAGCTTTACCTTGATCATTTATTCTCAATCATCATTTATGTCTTGATCATTTGTTGAATACATTAACTTAGACTTGTCTGGTCTTTCCAGACTTGACTAGAACATCTATTAGCAAGCAGACATTGATCTGAATCATTCATTCAAGGTTTGAGTTCTTAAACCTTGTCCCTGCGCCTTGATCTTGTTCTCACAATTGGTATCAGAGCTTGAGTGGTTGTCCTTTGAATCCACAAAGACCAGATTATAGTTGGTGTGAAATTACCTTGGTATTTCAACCATTTACGTGTCAAGGATAAAAGTTCTTCTATATACCACATTAGCTTGAAGATATCCTAACTTCAATGGCTGCTTCTAATCCTCAGCAAATGATTTCAATGCAAATCGCAAATAGTGTGGGTGGCCCTACTCGTGCCCCATTACTAGTTGTGGAAGAATATGATCACTGGAAAGTTAGAATGGAAAGATTTTTACTTGCCAAAGATAAAGGTGAAGAAATCTGGAGATCCGTCAAAGAAGGTCCACATATTCCTGTAAGAACAGTTGTAATAGATGCTTCTGCTCAGCTCATGCGAGAAGATGAAACTCGCCCAGCTCCTCTAACTGCAGATGATATCGAGAAGCTGCATGCTGATCAAGTTGCTTTCTCAGAAATGGTGTTTGGTGTTCCTCCTTCACTCTTCAAGCACATCAAGTTATGCAAATCAAAGAGATTTGGGACAATCTTCAGGATCTAATTGAAGGTTCGGAAAATATGAAAGACAAGCGCCTCACCTCTGTTGTCAACGACTTCGACACCTTCACTACCACTCCTGGTGAATCAGTGGCCTCAGCCTCCAACCGTTACTGAATCATTGTCAACAACATGACTGCTCATGGGATTGTCCGAACTCCTTTGGAGTACAATCTCAAATTCATAAACAGTCTGGGCAAAGGATGGGGAAACGTAAAATCTTGTCTCCAAAGCAATGGCTCCTTGAAAAAGTTGAAGCTCTATCAACTTTTTGATGAACTTCAAGGACATGAATCCAATGTTGCTCAAACCATAAGGGTACTCTCCGGATGTCCTCTTGCCCTTATCAGTTCTTTTGAATCAACCATTCCGAACTCATCTACTTCGGATCCCTTCAAACCTATTGTTCCATCTGTTCAAACATCCGTACCTATTTTACCCACACAAATCTATCATGCTGATGATTCCGAAGCCATGGACTCTGAACTCCGTTTCTAACAGGAGTTCGCCCTACTCTCAATGAAATACAAACATCCTTTCAATCCTTCTTACAAACCATATCAAAACCGATTCAATGCTCCTCACCATAACAATCCCCAATCATACTCAGCTCCGGAACCTAAACCAACTTCGGAAAACCCTCCCGCATACAAACCAAAAATCACTAAACCAAACTCTACTCCGGAATCCTCTCAGAGTTCCAAATCGGACAAACCAAAAATTCTGTGTCATAAGTGGACACGCAAACCATTTTGCCAAAGATTGCATGGCTGATGCTCCGCAGAAACCAAAAATCAATGATTCTGCTTACTACGTCCGAAGAGCACAAGATATGGCTGAAAGTGAAAAAGCCTTTGTAACAACCGTTTCAAGAGATGTTGAAGGGTATTGGTCATCTGGGGATGATGATGACATGGTAACTGGAAGGAACATGTGTTTGATGGCAAGACAAACGGTTGAATGTGATGAAGGATATTGGTCTTCTCGTTCAGAAGATGAAGATGATTTGCTGAACCTCACTACTGCTACATGGCCACCAATGATCCACCCGGTCGAAGCATCGTTCAACAGGTAAAATCTATGATCTCTGATAATAATTTTTATTTGTCTCTTTGTGAACCTTACCCGACCCAAATCCAAACAGATATGAACACCATTTATAAAGCCTATGAGTCTGCCATAGAAGCCAGTGAGAAGAAGGATTGTGAACTAAATCGTCTTAGGTTACGTTTTGAAGATAAAAAAAATGAAAATCGAGTCTTTAGAGAATGAACTTGTAATGTCGAGCGATGAATGTATCATTTTGAAAGATAAATGTGAAATCACCTATTCTGAACGAAATGTTTTAATTGCTGATAACAAACGTCTCAATGCAAAAATAGATGCTTTGCATAATTCTGTAGACATGCTTGAAGCGGATATTCAGATGACTCATAACTTTCGTCATCGTTGGTCTAAAGCACCTGGTCTCGGAAGCGAGTTTTCGAAACTAGTTGTTAGTCCCTTGAAGGAATTGCAAAATTTGACATTCATGGGAGAGGTTCCGAATATCAAACATTCGGACACCCCTCTTTCTCCCTTGTCTCCACTTCCTAAGACTACAGACCATTTTGAGTCCCTAATTCCTGAGTTCAAACCAATAGTTGTCAATTGTCCTGATTCCACGCCTCTTCCGCCTCTGATAAACCTAGACCTGAATCGGACCACGAATTTTCATCACAGTCTTACAAATTGTGTAGACTATGTTCCTAAAAGTAAACACGTGAACAATTGTGTGATTGAAGAAATTAATCCAGCGACAACTGAAACTACTTCTGAGGTTATATGGGCATCCTTAGATGATAAAGTTGAAGTCTCAAGCTGTATGTGTGAGCACAAGATCTATGCGCAGGGACAAGGTTTGAAAACTCAAACCTTGAGTGAATGCTTGAGATCAATGTCTGCTAGATAATGGATATTCAAGTCTAGACTGGAAAGACCAGTCAAGTCTTAGATGATCAGTTCAACAAATGATCAAGACATTAATTGAGAGCAAGTAGATAATGATCAAGGTAAAGTTAATAAATGAAGAACAAGAAGAATGTTTTAATGTGATAAGAGTAAATGCCAAAAGTAAGTGAAAGATCCGTAGTTGACTTGTATTGAAAGCTCCTATTTAAAGGAGTGAATGTTACAACGAATTAACCCAGATGTTTACATAAGACCGGACAAAAGACATAAGTCTGACATTCCGATTGTCCTA